TATGATCGAATGAACACTTCAACCCCTTCATTCTTAGAGAATCAAACTTTGTATAATGCTGAACTAGTGGATATAGCAGCTCCGCCTGGAGTCCCCCCGGGGCTACTGCCGGTCCCAAGCCCGGATAAAGGAGGAGGGTTGGACATGGGGTTAGCGTCCCCATCCCGTAGAAAACTAACTCGCTAAAAAACGCTAACCAGAAAAAATTATTCGAACCTTTTAAGCTCTGCCCTGGGAGTCAGAAGTCTTCATTTAGAAGAATTATGACGCCTCATGATGAAAGCCGAATCCCTTCGGAAGTTACGAAGCCGATGCCCCTTCTGACAACCAGAGCGACCATTTATTTAGGTACATGGAATGTTCGTACAATGTGAGAGACTGGGAGAGTCTTCCAAATTGCTGCAGAAATGAGGAGATACAACCTAGAGGTGCTTGGGATCAGTGAAACACATTAGACGCAAGTTGGACAACAACGACTAGCTTCAGGAGAGTTTCTGTTATACTCCGGCCATGAAGAAGAAAATGCTCCACATACACAAGGAGTTGCATTGATGCTGCCCAAACAAGCACAAAATGCACTTATAGGATGGGAATCTCATGGACCAAGGATCATCAAAGCCTCCTTCAAAACAAAGAAAGAGGGCATTTCAATGAACATCATCCAATGCTATGCGCCTACCAACGACCACAATGAAGACGCTAAAGATCAATTCTACAATAGGCTGCAGTCAATCATCGAGAAGTGCCCAACAAAGAACCTGACCATTCTGATGAGAGATTTCAATGCCAAGGTTGGAACGGACAACACTGGATATGAAGACATCATGGGACGACACGGACTGGGAGAAAGGAACGAAAATGGTGAGAGATTTGCAAACCTATGTGTCTTCAATAAACTGGTCATAGGCGGCACCATATTCCCACATAAACGCATACACAAAACCACATGGACTTCACCGGATCACACTACACAGAACCAAATCGACCACATCTGCATCAACAAAAAGTTCAGGAGGATGATGGAGGACGTGCGAACCAAGAGAGGAGTTGATATAGCATCAGATCATCACTTGCTGGTTGCCAAGATGAAATTGAAACTCAAGAAGCACTGGACAACGGGGAGGACAATATCACAAAAGTTCAATACAGCCTTTCTTCAGGATACTGACAAACTCAACAAATTCAAGATAGTCCTCAGCAATAGATTCCAGGCCTTTCATGATCTACTCAATAGAGAAGGAACTACTATAGAGAGCGACTGGAATGGGATCAAAGAGGCAATCACTTCAATATGCCATGAGGTTCTGGGTCACAAGAAGCACCATCACAAGGAATGGATCACTGTTGATACACTTGGTAAGATTCAAGAAAGGAGGAACAAGAAAGCGGCAATCAATACCAGTCGAACAAGAGCAGAAAAAGCCAAGGCACAAGCTGAATACACAGAAGTTAACAAACAAGTGAAGAGGAGCATCAGAACCGACAAACGTAAATATGTGGAAGATTTAGCAACGGCGGTGGAAAAGGCTGTAAGAGAAGGAAACATGAGACAATTGTATGACACGACAAAAAAACTCTCTGGAAATCGCCGCAAACCAGAACGACCAGTGAAAAGCAAGGAAGGCAAGGTAATCACCAACATTGAAGAGCAGCAAAACAGGTGGGTAGAACACTTCAAAGAACTGTTGAATCGACCAGCTCCACTGAACCCACCCAACATCGAAGCAGCACCCACGGACCTCCCAATCAATGTTGGCCCACCATCAATTGAAGAAATCAGCATGGCCATCAGACGAATCAAGAGCGGCAAAGCAGCAGGACCGGACAACATACCAGCAGAGGCACTAAAAGCGGACGTAGCGGCAACCGCAAGGACACTCCACATTCTCTTCAATAAGATTTTGGATGAGGAACAAGTATCAAAAGACTGGAAAGAAGGAGTTCTGATAAAAATACCGAAGAAAGGCGATCTCAGCAAGTGTGATAACTACAGGGGCATTACTCTTCTCTCAATACCGGGAAAAGTCTTCAACAGGGTATTGTTAAACAGGATGAAGGACTGCGTAGACGTCCAACTTCGTGACCAACACGCAGGATTCCGTAAGGATAGATCGTGTACAAACCAAATCGCAACTCTACGTATCATTGTGCAACAATCAATTGAATGGAGTTCATCACTCTACATCAACTTCATTGACTACGAAAAGGCATTTGATAGCGTGGACAGAACAACACTATGGAAACTTCTTCGACACTACGGCGTGCCTCAGAAGATAGTCAATATCATACAGAGTTCATAGGATGGATTCAACTGCAAAATCGTGCATGGAGGACAGTTCACAAAGTTGTTCGAAGTAAAGGCCGGTGTTAGGCAAGGTTGCTAACTCACACCCTTTCTCTTTCTCCTGGTGATCGCCTGGATCATGAAGACGTCAACATCTGAAGGGAAGCGCGGGATACAATGGACATCTAAGAGGCAGTTGGATGATCTAGACCTCACAGATGATCTGGTCCTTCTATCCCAAACGCAACAACAAATGGAGGAAAAGACGAACAGTGTGGCAGCAGCCTCAGCAGCAATAGGTCTCAATATACACAAAGGGAAAAGCAGGATTCTCCGATACAACACAGAATGCACCAATCCAATCACAATTGACGGAGAAGATTTGGAAGATGTAAAAACCTTTACGTATTTGGGCAGCATCATTGATGAACAGGGTGGATCTGATGCAGATGTGAAGGCGCGGATCGGCAAAGCAAGAGCAGCATATTTACAACTGAAGAACATCTGGAACTCAAAGCAACTGTCAACCAACACCAAGGTCGGGATTTTCAATACAAATGTCAAGACAGTTCTACTGTATGGGGCAGAAACCTGGAGAACTACGAAAGCCATCATCCAGAAAATACAGGTGTTTATTAACAATTGTCTACGCAAAATACCTCAGATCCATTGGCCGGAAACTATTAGCAACAACGTACTGTGGGAGAGAACAAACCAGATCCCAGTGGAGGAAGAAATCAGGAAGAAGCGCTGGAAGTGGATAGGACACACATAGAGGAAAGCACCCAACTGCGTCACAAGACAAGCCCTCACATGGAATTTATGGCCAATGTTGACTGTGATGTATTACGTAAATTAGAAAAGAAATTGCTTAACGTGGATGCTATGAACAAAAAAGTTTAATTTATTGAAACCTATCGGTTCGATGTATCCTCATTTATATGCACCACCGAAAATTCATAAGTGCAATATCCCCTTACGTCTAATTCTATCCATGTGTCTGTCACCTACACATAGCATTAGGAAATAGCTGAAAAAGTACTAAACCCTATTCGATACCAACCTTGTAAGTATTCTTTGAAATATTCATTGGAATCAATTAGTTACTTATTGGATGCTAATACAGAAACCAAGACAATATCTTCCTTTGAGTAAACGCTTTGTGTACAAATGTATCTCTTAGAAAGACCATTAGTGCTTTGTGTGACTACGCCCCATTAAACAGTCTTCAACTGACGTTGCCTGTCAAATCTCTTAGAGATTTATTATTATTACTATGTACTGACAATGTGAAATTCGCTTTTGAGGAAGAGCATTTTGGACTGATCTATGGCATATCTATGGGTAGCTGTTTATGATAATTGGTGGCCTATGTGTTTATGGTATATATGGAATAACCGGGTCCTTTTTATAGACATACTGATCAGTAGGAAAGATAATGGTTCCATCAAAACGTTCTGTATATAGAAAACTGATATGGACAAAGCAGTATCTTAGTTTCCATGGTCACTGTCCAATCTGGTACAAACGTGGAATTATAAGGGGCTTATTCAATAGGATCAGTCGTACTTGCACTAGCGATACGATTGAGGGAGATGTACAGACCCTAATTGAAACATTGATAAATAACGGTTGCTCATTAAGGTTTATAAACCATCGAAAAGGCAGCAAGATCATGAGACCCGAAAATCGATCATAGTTTTCCCTACCATTCAGAGATGACACAAATTGGCTTATCTTGAAAACGGCGTAAACTGGATATCAGTAAAACCTTTTACGTAGCCCAACTCATCACTATCGAAAACTCAAGATCTATGTTTCACTAGGAACGTAAACACCATGTAAACTATTGCCACATTCTATTGCGTCTATCAATTTACATGTATGTGCGGAAACACATACATAGACAGATGTAATCGTGATCTCCGATAAAAGGTGGTTGGACACATACTTAAATAGCTGCTGAAACAGATGAATTCCAATGGTCAAATAAGATCACAGGATGGACAAGTATCTCCATACATTGATAAGTATTTGGTTGAGACTTGTCATATGGTTAATAAAACGTCAGCCAATGTAGTGTTACACAGAAGTCTTAAAGGTCGCATACCAAGTTTTATCGAAGCCGTGACTTTACGCAAGCTGAAACCCTCTTTATGCGTTGGAAAACATATCTTCAATAAGTTGGAGTCATTTACAAATGATTGGCTGCGTCCCAGCCTTTCCATGTTAGGCTTATCGCACTAGTAAGTACATCGTAATTATCAGTATAGGGTTGTGGAGATTGTTGAGTTTCCATCTACACAACCTGCACAACCCTATACTGAAGAACATCTTATTACTTCACACCCATTGGATATTTAAGAACTGTTATCAATTAATTAACACTGCAGAAAATCATAAATCGTATATTGTATGCCTATTACACTAACTATTACTCGAAATTTAAATCATGGAGGTCATTTATAGTGTTATTATACAGATTAGTAACATTATTCGAAAGAAATCAATCAAATTACGATAATGTAATGGAAAGTTAATTGTTTATATATTATAGTGTAATCTGTAAGCTGTGAGAATGGACACACAAGAACCAGGATATTTGTATGTATGTTCAATTGTATGGACAAATAGTCAGTATAATAATTGAATAAATAATTTATAGAGAAAAAAGTTTACATTTTAGTATATAAATATTCTAAACTATTTAGATTGTTTATTTATATGATGATAATGATTCAGTACAATATTTACTTATTACAATATTACATAATAATTTTACTAAGTTATACTTTCAATGAAATTGATGCTAAACAACATAAACGTATGTACCAACCTCTCTCGTTGGAACTAATCCATTATATCAATTATGAGGTAAATGAAATATACATTAAGTTATATTATATGTAAATTAATTATTATTATCATTATATAATATGTTTAATGATAAATAACTTCAAGTGGAAGTTCTGAGAATCTATGGCAAATGGAATTCAAGCATGTCGATAGTGTGACACTCCTTACTGACGATACCGTCTAATAAATTCAATAATTGATTGAAGTTATAGATATAAATTATTAAACTTCAACTTAGTTCTATTTAAAAGTCGTTCTCACTTAAGGAGTGACCTGTGAGTCTATGTTTGATCTCTGATAAGGGCATATGTGCTAAATGCTGTGTTCCGGGAAGCTATAACGAAATGACTAACCAATGTCGTCTAGTTTATAAGACTTCATCGACCGAAATTCGTCGACCATCTTCATAGTAGAATAGTAGTTATCTTTTCAGGTTGGCATATTTATTATCTCAAACGTGAAATCTGTATCGTGTTAAAACAAAAATAAGTCACCACTTAAGAATTATTTTGCAGTTGAAATGTACAACACTGTTTAGTCTTCGAAGGACGCCAGGGAATATTTTTTAGATATATTTTAATTTATAAAACTCATTGAATTCGGTAAATTCAAGATGATGAATTCCAAATCGTCGTTTTATCAAGAGATGTGAGATTCAAGTCTATTCATGAACAAGTGAGAAGTGAATAAGATGAATGCATGATAAAACTATCAGTAACGTTTTAGCCTATAGAAAATATATCCTACAAAATTTCCTTAGTGATTCGGGTTGATAGTCACATTTCTGTTCTTCCGATATACTTCTCTCTAAAATCAGAATCTATAGAGTAATTATTTTATCTTGATTCGGAACTCAACACTAACACGGTACTGTTACATTGAAGTTATGTTTGACCACATATGATTGTTTAAATACTTAATAGAAAAAATAAGACGATCTTTTTGATCCGGTATGTCAATCTTTATCTTCATATATTTTTCAACATATTCTACTGAAATTATAATCACTTACATTTAAGTAGTCTTAAAACATTTTGCCTCATAGTTACTTTCCTTCAGAAATTAAAATTAGTCATGAAATTCAGTAACAGATATTACTGTTCTATTTATGCATTAATCATTCAGAAAGCTAATTTTCTGTGTAATCCTATACAAGACTGATAACTATTAGTTATTTATGATCGAGTAGTTTATAGAAATTCGTTCAGTCTAAAGGCTGTTTTCAAGATAGACTAGCATCAGTTGAAAAACCAGAAAATACTAAATAACTACTTTAGCTTGGTCTGGGATTTATTTACGGTACGTAAATGCAGTCTCATACGCTACTGAAACCAACTCTAAAATTTACAACAAGTGCAATAACAAAAAACTAGTGGGTTGAAAACAATAGCTGGTTATATATATTACAGCTCGACAAAATCAAAATCCAAGAAACCTAGTTTTCAACAAAGATGGGTGATGGCTAACAGCGGAATTCAGGCTAAAAGTTTGGTCCTATTTGTGGTAAGTCTGTCGGATGTGACTGCATCCTTGAGTTGATGTTTACTTGAACACTCGAACCCAGTACCGTTAGATTCAAACGCCACTGCATTATCAATTTAGCTACTGAGTCCAGAGGTACTAGCTTATGCAATCGGGTGAAGCTTAATTTATTTGTATCACTTGTTTGATTCTTCCCATTGAAGTCGAGGACTGCAACTGATCAGCATGTTATTGGCATATGTGCATGTTGTAAACATCTACTCTAGGATAGAGGTATATCCAGCTGACCAGTGTCAAATGGCACGAAACCCACGTCCTGGATTCCACTGCTAGCTACTATCCGTCTTTGCTTAGCATGCTTGTGACTTGAGGCTATATCGAGGCAATGCGCACAACACGCACATATGTCAATAAGAGACTGACCGATTGCAGTCCTCAGCGTCAACGGAAAGATACAAATGAATATGGTTTTCATATTTTATATTTAAAATTCATCTGCTTAATAGTACTTTATATCCTGCCTGTAAATAATTAAGGTGAGACAGAATGAATCTACTTTTGGGTGAGTACATGAAATATCCTTACAAAAATTGACGTTTCGCGCGATGTTCAGTCAATTAGGAAATCTCCCATAAGACTGATAAATGTGACACTGGAATTTATGATTTTCAGTAGTTACCTTGTTCAGTAATCACTATGATCTGTTGTTACGTAAACTCAAAAAACCCACCTAATTATTTATGTAAAATATAGCATAACGCATTACAGACAATAAATATCATTAGATTCATGACCGCTGTACAAAGCTCAATACTAGATTTAAGGTTATCTAACTTGTAGTTTGTAAACACTAAAGAGTACAGAAACAATCACTGAGTCAATGACGGTTGCGTAAAAAGAAAAATTTCATAACAACTAATTAATAAATATTCTCTTGAAATAGACAAACAAATTAAACAAAAGGTAGTCATCATTTGTTCCCCTCATCCTAAGTGGCTATCACTTATTTCCTTTTCAATGATAATTTTTTGCCTAAATAATCATAAGACTATTCCAACCACTTAATTGGAAATGTCGTTGTTAAATGAATCAAGAAAAAAGTTCAGTTATGTTAGTTACTAATACTACTAATTTTTTGCTGCACATCCTTGAGAACCTGGATTGTGGAAAACCAATTCGAAGTTTCCGTTACATCGCTAGCGACTGATAATAAAGATCATCATTAGGGTTTTCGATATAGTAGTCAAAATTAAACCAGATGGTCACGTCTCAATTTTATTGGTTGATTAATGACCCACAAAACCCTGTACTCTACAATCACTTGAGAGAACTTCCATGTCAGTAATTTGGTTTCCTTTAGCAATTATCACTTCATCACGTGTCACTTTATTTTAGAGGATCGATCACACACCCACACACCTGAGCAAACAAAGTTAATTTATGTTTGACATTTGTATACAAGAAAGTTAGAAAACTCTAAACGGAATATTTGGTTTGAAGATATTGAGAATTAGTTTTAAATTCAATAATGACCATCATAAGTCACAATAATATATCTGAACATCTTCCTTTTTTTCTTTCTGTCATAAAATATTAAGGCCAATACGACTTGGAAAGCTGCTCCTACTACAAGATTTAGGACAGTATCTGATATTCGTAGAATGTTAGGTACACTTCCAGATCCAAATAATGAACAACTAGAGACTTTATGTGCTGGTTACACATCAGATGAATTACCCAAGAGCTTTGATGCGAGGGTAGAATGGCCACATTGTCCTTCTATCTCTGAAATACGTGACCAGTCATCTTGTGGTTCTTGTTGGGTAAGTAGTAAGTGTTAAAATGTTAAATACCTTTCAGTAGTTTACACCGTTTATATTATCATATGTCACTTATTTATTTTCTAGTGTATTACGACTTTAACTAAAATTGTTTTGATGGAGAAACAACCGTCGTTATGTCAGATAATAAAATTATTTTTCAACTTCAAAGGGAAATAATGTATGCAGTATTTTCCACAAATACAATTGACTATCCTCATAGCCCGTAATGTTTCAGCGGACTAAAAGGAAAATATTTAAAGTCTAGCGATGTTACTCTAAGAAAAACGTATAAAATTGAGTTAATAATATGGGAGATATATATATTTTTACACTATCCGTAATTTGTCTCCAAATTATCAGTAGTTGCATGCCCAATAGGTTGAAAAAATAAGTCCACAATAATGACGAGGAACTGACAACTTTAATATATGGATTACTGTTCAAGATGATGACTTATGATTAACCCAAGTGATGTTGAGAGGCTGTAAATGTGTATGTAACAGATATATTAGAGACCTGTTGATTTACCAGGGAACTGAGAGAGAACGAGATGTGGTAATATGTAACTCGTGTATCTAATGAACGACACTCAGTGCAACATAGAAATAGGGTACAGCAAAATTTGAGGTCGACCTAAATAAAAATTTGTAGTTAATAAGAATAATTGTAGAAATAAAATGAATTTATGGAATACGTGATTAATAACAGAAAATTATTAGCAAATAAAGTCTACATTAAGTTCACGAATAAAAATTTATTTCAACAAGTTAGCCTTTTTTTTCATACTCACACCGTAAGTTCAGTTATATAAGTAGAATTGCATAAATTCATTTTATTCCCTGGGTGAAGTCGGTTAGAAGTGAATTGTTATCATCATAGTGGAGCAATGATTTCAATAGAATTATTAAGATTGGAGAAGAATTATAAACAAATAAAATGTGGGTAAAACTATTTTATAACATCAGACTAATAACTAAAGATCACAGAGCCAAATAAAAAATCTTGTAAATTTTACGAAGTAGCTTATAAGTAGGAATAACATAAGTTTTGATCAGTCATTTAAAAGTAGAGTAATGAGTTTAGAACGACTGGAAATAATATAGTCAATATATGAGAAAATGTTTTAAAAATTACATTATGAAATTAGCTTAATATTGTTATGGTGCAGAAAGATTTACTCGTTTTTCTTTTGGAATATGTTCTTGGAACCAAATGTAGACTCTTCTTTCCGCTCGACCAGCGCGATTGCAAGGGTAAATATGTGTAAATTTATACACTTTGTTTGGGATATCATATAAGGGGTACCTGTCGATCTTTAATTGTGGTAAACAATATTTTGTTTGGTACAGGACAATCAATGTTCGCACTAATTTTGTTGCTTGTCCCTACGAAGTTATCACTTTTAAATCTCAACAAAATAATTTCATTTCGTTTAATCCTTCCACACGCACTAAATACAGTCAACCCAATTTCCACTTCATTAATATATTATCTTTCCTGCATTACAACAATCTCACAGGCATTTGGGGCAGTTGAAGCTATGTCTGATCGTATTTGTATAAAATCAAAAGGGAAGCATAAGCCATTTTTAAGTGCAGAAAATCTGGTATCTTGTTGTTCATCCTGTGGAATGGGTTGTAATGGTGGTTTCCCACATTCAGCATGGTTATATTGGAAAAACCAAGGTATAGTAACAGGTGATTTATATAATACAACAAACGGTTGTCAGCCCTATGAATTTCCACCGTGTGAACACCATGTGGTCGGTCCATTACCTTCATGTGGTGATGATGTTGTAACACCTCCATGTAAAACAACTTGCCAACCAGGATATAATATATCATATGAGAAGGATAAATGGTATGGTAAGTTGAACGATTTAAACACTGATTCACAGTATACATATGTACATATGCATGATGCATTTATGGTTTTGAAACGTTATATATTATAATAGTCACTTCAATAATGAATCATTAGTTACCTTGTTATTAAACTCACAGATAGAACTCGCTTCTAGAGTCAGATCACTGACTATACTATTATGAAATGTGTGCATAGATATTTTGAAATAATTTACCTCATTCAGTATAACTTTTATATTGTTAGCTCTGAGCATTCTTTAGATTCCGTTAAATTAGGGATTTCTGTAGTCTATGAATTATCTTAGAGGTAATAAGATATAATTTAAACACTAAAGACATATAAAGCTAAAAGTGATTCATTATTCCTGGAGTTTCAATCTGATATAGCTGTATATGTTAAAAAATGTATGTCTGCAGATTATTAAGGCCACTTGTGATTGAACTTCTTTTTCAAGTCACTCAAGAATAATATCCTTCTATGGTGATGACAACCGGAAAGTGACAACTGCCTTCATACACCTATCACCAACCAGTATCTTAATGTTGACGACAGAATGCTTCCCTTACCTTTTAACAAATCTATCATCCCCACAACTAACCCTTCTCGTATATTTTTATCACAAAATGTTATCTGTGGTCTCCTGAAATCACACTCTAAACTACATGTTAGAGCTTCTAATTTTCGAACCTTGTATTATAAACGACAACAAGATTCTTTAGTTAGGACTCTAGAATCTCACACCTTCGACGTGTTGTGCGTCCGTGAAACAGGCATACGGGACCTGAGTACAACCACTCATTCGATCTCATCTTGTCAGCGGAAAGAACTTGCACGATTTACCTGTCGATTATCTGGAGACCCCACCGCTACTTCCTATGGCCTCGCTGGTGTAGGTATAGTATTCAGTTCTAAAGCAGAACAGGCTCTATTACACAGGTACCCAGTGGGAAGTGCGCTGTTCAACTAAAGGAGACAGTAGAAACTCGAAAATATTAAGACACACGCCGTTGATTTTTCGTTATCTCTGCCTACGTTCCCCTTGATTGCAGCTACAATGAGGTTAAAAATGAACTTTATAGCAAGCTATCAAACCTTATCCTAAAAGCTAAACGCTTTGATGTAATAAAACTTGAGTTTTATTTTAACGTTCAAGTCGGAAGACTGAACCAAACTGAAGGGCAATTAGATGAATATGACAGCGTTGTGTCTCAGTGAATAGATAATTGCGACCATTTACCTCTATAATGCTCGGACAACCGTCTGTTTCTAACAGACACCAACTTTGAACGTAAGGGGAAATATCATCTGACGTAGCGACCTTCACAACCGACTCATCGATGGACCTTAATTGATCACATCGTCGTTAGCCATCGTAGTAGGCGCTCAACAGAACACTGTAGCTCATTCTGAAACACACGTCTGGACTCGGATCACGCTCTAATTTCAGCGTAAATTTGTCTGCGTCTTACCAGATATAGAAAAGTCGCAGCACGGAAACTTGATGGTGAATAGGTTAAAAATATTTTTTAGGAACGCCTAGTGAAGTAGTTACTCAACCACTAAAGTGATATCCAATCCTAGGTATCTTTCTATGACATCCAGAAAGCTGTGGAAACAGCAGTGACATCTACCAATTACTTAGACAAAGGGGTTAGGATGAACTAGTGGATTCCAGAGGTGTCTACTGAACCGATAGATGGTCGGGAACTCATCCTATCTGGCTCCGAATACGATGACTGAATGGAGGCAGCTTAAACGTAGGCCAATAAAAAAGTCCTCTTATTGTGGTCTGCGTGATAATCATAACCGGTTGCTAAAGACTGAATGACATGGCTCAAAATTGTTTACATTGATACAGTTGCATTAATTTTTTGTGTTCCTCCAAATACTGAACTTCTGATTTAGTGATAATTTTTTTCTTTCACTGATTTATATTTTCTCGAATTGTATCTTTGATACCTGATGTTTTCTATCACCACTCGAACTGTTAATACTCCTACTATTCCGGGATTTGACCTGACAATTTGCGATAATTAAAAGCCTTCAGACTATTCTATGAACTAGGAATCCACGAGATAATGCAGTTTAATTCAGGTCGAACTATGTGGGCACAAACGAACGTATTGTATTTGGACCTCCAAACCAGGTGCACATCGAGTACAAAAGAATCACTAGTTCATATGAACACCACAAAATTTCACCTCTCTGTGCTAGTGGGGTATGGTGATGTGAACCGGTGGATATACGTACAAGGTTCTACGTTGCGACTTACTGACTGACATTACAGTTTGTTCCTCAATTGTCTGATATGCATATTGTCGGAGACGATTTATAATGACTTAGTTATAAGTAAAGTGACTAAGTGGGTTACCAAATGGATCGATAGTTTTCCACAGCCAGTGATACATGAGATTTAAGGTTTTCACACAAGTGGTGGACAGGAAAGCTTCTTCCGAAAATACGTATATATTTCTTTTCAATTTCAACAAACTTTGGTTTGGAAAAGATCAGCCGAAAAAATATTGTGAATGTATGTTCATAAGTAATTTAATTTTACGAAATCAGTTCTCGCTGTACATTGGTCAACATTTCATTTACAGGTGAAAAAGTCTATCGCGTTCATTCAAATCCAGAAGCTATCATGCGAGAGCTAATGCAAAATGGACCAGTTGAAGTAGATTTTGAAGTGTATGCCGATTTCCCAAATTACAAATCAGGTGTTTACCAACACGTTAGTGGAGCCCTACTTGGTGGACATGCAGTGCGTTTACTTGGTTGGGGTGAAGAGAATAATGTACCCTACTGGTTAATTGCTAATTCATGGAATAGTGATTGGGGGGATAATGGTTATTTTAAAATAGTTCGTGGTAAAAATGAATGTGGGATTGAAAATGATGTCAATGCTGGAATACCAAAAACAAAATACTAGAGATTTTGGTGAAATATTTTATTTGTATATCTGCATGTCTGCAAGTAAATTGGCTTCTGTAATTCATTATTATCATCATCATGAATACAATATTTACTTGGAAACTGAGGAAAACATGAATAATAATTAAAACTGGACAATCTCCCCAGTATTTTATTTAAAAATGTAGTAGCCATTTCGAATATTAAGTATTTTTTCTCAATATTTCAAATATTATTTATAAATATACCCCTAAACACAAAGAAGACTTTTAGTCGTTGCATTTAATATATAAATCTAAATAAAATAGCAATTATATATATATATATATATATGCGTATATATCGGGGTCGTATTTTATATGTTTGATAACAGCCTAAGCCGTAGAATTCTGAATGGTTTAATGTTGTTGAAGATGGCTAGATTCTCTTGAAGCGAGCTCTTCTATACATTCAACCAATTAGATCCAGTCTAAAGAGTGAATCGATATTCTCGTAAATATCCTTTCTAAAATGCTGTTGCTAATGGTTCTTTCTATATTTTGCTGCAGAACAAAGTTTCACTGACAGGTGCTTCTACCAACCATAGTCTTTTTAAACCAATAACAATTTAATTAGGGTGAGAGCCCCTAAGGTACCATAGTCGTTTGTGATTTTTACGGACTTTTGATTATTTAGTATTCTGTCTCGGCCAAAAATGGTTGCATGGTCTCATTAGTGATTATTTTTTGGGACAGAAGTGATTTCAGAGCATTTCTGGCTAACATTATGACATATTTCCATATTTTACCTCAGTGACTCGTTCCAGGTGGGTTAAAGTGCCATCCTCATCCTCTACCGTTAAGATCACTCTATACCTCATTTTGGTTCCGATATCTAATAATGTTTCAGACAATCTTCCGCTCCTCTATTATTCAAGCCGTTATTGCGAAATATTTGTCTTTGGTTTCCCGTTTCTGTGAAAAACCATGATAGTTCACATCAAAATGAGTCCGTACTAAAAGCATGAGTCATTTTTGTATAAATGCCTTTGATGTGAAAAAAAATTAACAATTACTTTAAGGTAGTTTAAAGTAATATATACCAACCAGGCAAAAAGGCAGTACATGAACTTCTTGACAGCATTTCTGTTATGACTCCCTTATTCAGGAACATCGCGCAAAGTATAGTTTTTGATATAGATAGCTTTATTTTAAAACCATATGAATAGCAGAATGGCCCTTAATAATTCAGAACACCTCGCAAAGACCATTAGACTATTGTGTTATTCTGACATGCCCATCCCGTAGGTGATGTTGCATCACAATTAACTGTGCACCAAAGTGTTTATAGAGGAGCACAAATAACCGTTGGTTTCCGAAGGACAGATATTATAAATGCTGATGCTCATCTATGTGACTGACCTAGTTTAAAATTAAGTGATTAAGATTCCTCATCGAAGCATGACATACCAGATTTTACATAACAGTTTTCCAATTATTTTTTCTGTGTCTTACTGCTACTTATGACCACCTTCACCGAGTCTTGACTGTACAGTATTCTAACGCTTATTTCAGGATAGCAACGAAGAACTTTGAACTAATCTAATCATTTCTCCCATGGCATTATTAGTACTTTCACTTTACAAAATGCCTGAGATCGATTACTTTCTATTCTGCTTACTTATGAAATTATCAATGAGCCATCTGTACAATAAAAGTGCTTTTACGAATTTGGAACATGATTTACATGTAATACTTGAAAATTCCTATATTGTAGTTTTGAACAACATATATAAGTGAACAATATGGTTTTCGATTAGATCTTCATCAGGCTTTACTTGAATATACATGAATATGTAGATGCAGATCTGAAATCATTAAACGGACCAAGACAGTTTATAAGACAATGATAACAGTGGAATAAGTAACATAAATAAGCATAAAAAGTAAAAAGTAAAAATTGATAGTGTGATGTCAGGTGTACTAGTTGTGGTAAAAATAATAAAGGCTTGTATCAATGTTTCATAACAGGGAGTAGGTCGATGACTTGGAAAATAGACACTGAAATAACATTCATTAAAAGTTATAACATTATGCAATGAGGGATGTTCAGGTAAATGGACATTGAGGTTTACATTTGAGAAAAGGAAAGGGCAGGAGGGATGAAGAAAAATAATCGAAGAATGTGGAAAATAATAATAGATAAAATCTCTTAATAAGACCATGAGAGAGATAAAGGTGTTGCAAATTTCTTATGAACACAAAAACTTGGAATGTTAGCCCGAATTCCTGTAGATTCTGTTTTGTGTAAGAGACGAGATCGAACCCCGTAAAAAAAACTAATGGGGATACGATAAATAACATCAACTGATCTGTTTCTGTCTATTACATAACCGCTGTCGATCACTTGTGATAGAACCGAGATGCATATTTTCTTGGTAGTACCTTTTCTTAACTACAAAGGGAGGTGTTCACTGACTCATTGGTTCAGTTGTTTGGTGGACCCCATCAGGGAAATAGATAACAAGCATACCGATGTAGGCATTGTCACAAGGAAAAAGAAAAAGCAGGATGAGAATAAACTAGTTATGTATAGTACCAAGGTATGTGAATCTACGGTCTCAGTTCCGGATTCCCATATCAACGCAAAACAGACTATGGTGGGGCATACTCTGAGGGGTATATAGGATAATGATTGGCCTACAGTCACATCCAAAAAGTTGACCTCTTCTTTTGAGGCCAAACCGGGATTGGATTGAAAGGAGGAGAAGATTTCAAAAATTAAAATTCTGTAGACTGTTAAAACGGACCTCGCTGATAGGTCAGTCATTTTTCATAAATTTAGAAAAATCTTCCGAAAATGAACCAAAAGTTAGATTTGAACACAATCTCAGCCACATTAAATTTTTAATATACAAGCTACTTCCAGAAACAGTTTCAGGAGTTAGCATCTGTAAGCTTTATAGAATAGGACAATTGGTGGATTCCGAAAGTACTCAGAAAAACAGTCTCTTGAAGGTTACCTTTAGTTTGGCTGAAGTAAGAAACCTGATATTCAGAAACTCATGCAAACTGATTAGATCCGGAATGTACGTCCATGAGAATGTCGGCCTGGTTGATCGTATTGAGAGACGATCGGAAGAAGTATGCTATACAAATGCTCGTAGCCTACCAAATAAAATGGCGAAGCTCAAGACAGTGGTGGATATAAAAAAAACCGGATCTGATTGCTGTCTCAGAAACATGGTTACCGTCAGAAGTGGTTGGTGACTGTTTTTTATCCAGTAGGGCTGATAGATTGAACCGTAGGGGAGGTGTGGTTATCCTTTACACTCAAAGTACCTTAACCATACGACCTGTTGAAACAGTGGCACATGATTCAGGGAAATGTGAGCTGGTGTGTTGCAGGCTGAAATGTAGACGGCGAGATATTGAATTAGTTGCAGTATATCACAGTCCAGAATGTGTAGAGGACGATCAGAAAAAAGCAGGGGCTATGGCAAACTATTTTGGAGCAATTTTCACTCAGGAACATCTCATAGATGAAGAACTAGATCCTAATACAGAGTCAACAAACCATCTGCTCACCATGATCACTTAAGTCTCTTAGCACCGTAGGCAAGCGAAAGTCAACAGGACCGGATGAACCACATCCCAAAATCCTAAGACATATTGCAACTCCACTGACTGTGATATTCTATATGTCACCTGACCAAAGTGTGTTACCTATGGACTGAAAGGATGCAATCGTCACTCCCACACATAAAACAAGACCAAGGCGACTTTCATCGAACTACAGACCTGTCAGCCTCACGAATGTTGTAGTTAAAATATTGGAAAGAATAGTCAGAAAGACTATAACGACATTTGTGGAAGTCAACAACATGTTAAACAGCGAATAACATGGTTTCAGAAAACGTTTATCTTGCACAACAAACCTCCTTATAGCAAGGGAGCATTGGGTGAAGGTGCTAGACAAAGGCAAATAAGCGGATGTTGTCTACATA